TGCTCAGTGGCATGCGCGAAAGGCAATCTGCGTCGGCATGTCGTCGACCACTTTTGTACGAGACTATGAAGTTATTTTCTTGGAGCCGAAGTGCCCAGCGCGCTAGACGGCCGCAAGGATCCCGAAGGTTGTCGAGCCAACACAATGAGTGGTGGTCGGTGACGACTGTAAAAGGGCTTCCATATAGGTAAGACCGAAACCGCTGAATCGCAAATACTACCGCGAGGCATTCTTGTTCTGTGACAGTGTAATTCTGCTCGGGCCTACTCAAGGAGCGACTTGCGTATGCAATCACGTGCTCGCGGTTACCATAGCGTTGAACTTGGACGGTACGAATTCCTATGCCGCTAGCATCTGTGTGCAGTTCGGTTGGAGCTGATGGGTTGAAGTGTTGAAGAACAGGCCGTGACGTCAGGAGGAACTTCAGTTGACGAAAAGAGGAGTTGCACTCCGGAGTCCACTCGAAGGGAGTATTCTTCCGTAGCAAACATGTCAGCGGATACGCGACATCGGCAAATTTAGGTATAAAGCGGCAAAAATAGGAGCAAAGCCCCAAAAAACTGCAGAGCTCCTTCACAGAGCGCGGCACATTGAACGTTTCAACGGCTGCTGTCTGCTGGGGATCTGGACGGATGCCCTCCTGATCGACTAGGTGTCTGAGAACAAGGGTTTGTCGGTCTCCGAAGTGGCATTTATTTGAGTTAAGAACAAGGCCAGCGTTCCTTATGCAAGTCAGTACAGTATCCAGACGTGAATTGTGTTCGCTGAAGGTGCGGCCAAAGATGACGACGTCGTCGAGCTAGCACATGCAAATGTTCCACTTCAAGCCACGAAGAACAGCGTCCATAAATCGCTCGAACGTCACCGGCGCGTTGCACAGCCCAAATGACATCACGTTGAATTCAAAAAGGCCGTCAGGGGTCCCAAAGGCTGTCTTTTCTTTATCTTCAGGATGCATGGGAATTTGCCAGTAGCCCGATCTTAAGTCCACAGAGGAAAAGTAAAAGGCCGAATGCAGACAGTCTATGGCATCATCAATACGTGGAAGCGGGTACACGTCTTTTTTTGTTACAGCATTCAATCGGCGATAATCGCCGCAAAATCTCCAAAATACATCTTTCTTTTTAACGAGAATTACGGGAGGTGCCCATGGACTTACCGACTCTTGAATGATACCATTTTCAATCATTTCGTTCACCTGCTCATTATTAATCCGCCGCTCGGATGGCGAAACACGGTATGGCTTTAGTCTAATCGGATTGGCCAAACCCGTGTTGATAGTGTGACATGTCCGAGAAGCAGGGATTAGGGGTGCTTTGTCTTTCTGCGCAAAGTCGAATGCAGAGACGTGCTTCGAAAGTACATTGACCAATGTTCGGCGTTCACTTGTGCTCAGGGACTTATTCACCATTGACAGAAGAGCTGTTTAAAAACTGTGACTACGATGCTCTTCCGGCGCACCTCTAAGCTCGGTCACCAGTAAGGCCTCGTGTTGTCCACTGATGACGGCTAGCTTTAGACCATCTGGTAACATCACGGGTTCTGTAGAGCAATTGACAGTCCATAAACCAGCGCGTCCACGTCTTATCGACACCACACAATGTGGGATCAACACACTCTTTTTCATGCAGTTGGTGTACACTGGTTCCACGTTGGCATCAAAGTTAGCGGAATAGCTGTCGCTGCAACCAACAGGTACACGAACGGTTGATAACGGTGGTATGATAGTGTCACCACAGACACACAATGCCGTCTCACCATCCACAGGGTTTTCCAAGAGTGCTGGCGGAACGTGATCACTCAAGACTATTGTCCCTGTGCGGCAGTCGACAGTCGCACCACACTCCCTCAAAAAGTCCATACCCAAAACAACATCATGTGTCGCCTGCGGAATAATCACGAACTCCGTTGGGATAATGCGGCCTCCGAGAAACACGTCAGCTTGACACACACCAACAGGATGCAGTGCCTCACCACTCACTCCGCAAAACTTCGAAGCTTGATTCCACTTAAATAAAACCTTCCGCCCCAAGGTATCTTTAAAACACGCATTCATGACCGAAATGGTTGCCCCCGTATCTACCAAAGCCATCACAGGCACATCGTTAACAAAAACACGTACTTTGTTCTTGAGCATCAACACAGGAGGTATTTCTGATATTAGCACGTCTCCGGCGACCTCACCTCCATCGGCTGCGCTTGCTAGTTTTCCTGTGGCAAAGGAGACGTGTTGCAACGCCGTGGTGAAGGAGAACGGGGAACATGAGGCGGTGGAGGCGTCAAGCTCCTGTCAGATGTAGGGGAGTGGTTCCGGAAGCTGCGTGTCCAGTAGTCGTCGCGAGGCAGCAGGTGTGTTGCCTTAGGGTCGTCGTACGGTCGATCAGACGATCGTGTGGAGTATTGTGGTGGGCCATAGTACGTTGCTCGTGGGTCATCGCTAAGTTGTTCGGAAGGCCATGCAAAGTGTGGTAAGTAGCCATATTGTGGGGCTATACGTCGACGGTTGCAAAATCGCGAAATATGTCCTGGTACACCACAGGAGTAGCAAACTGTGAGAGGTCGAAACTCTCTTTGTTCGTCGATGATACGAACATCGTCTTCCCTGGCGAAGTGGGTCGGTTCGTTCCGTATATCATAGGGATAGACCAGGCGTCGCGAAGAAGGAGGATGCTGGGGGTGTCGGTCATGGCAAGGAGCTGGCAAGCGTGGTGCTCTCTTTGGCTGAGGGGGTGCGCTATACTCAACAGCTGCTGCCCTAACCATCGATTGCCAAGGGGTCGTAGAAGGCGGCGGCGCAGTCACAGCCTCACGTGGCACATATACCGAATGTTGGTCGTTTACGGAATGGTGATCAACTGCTGAATGCGTCTGTTCTCTATAGCGAAAAAGTTCTTCGCGAACAATCTCTCGAATTGTCGAGGACAGGTCTGGGCAGGTGCTCGTGTCGATGCTGGCAACCGTTGTAACATTTGTGAGCCGGCCGAACTTTGGAGCAATCCTGCGCATTTTCAGCTGTTCGAAAGTTCGGCAATGCCAAATCACGTCGGACACCGAGCTCAGGTGCTCTTTTCCAATGAGAAAATTATAGACATCTTCGGCTATGCCTTTCAGCAAATGCCCTACTTTGTCGCCTTCTGACATCTGATCATTGACCACCTTGCAGAGCTTCAGCACATCCTCTATATACGTGGTACATGTCTCACCTGGAAGCTGCGCGCGTTGAGACAATGTCTGCTCTGCCCGCTTCCTTTTGACGCTCGAGTCACCGAAACACGCTTTCAGCTCTGCAACAAAAACGTCCCACGTCGTCAGTGTGTTCTCGTGGTTTTCGTGCCACACGAGCGCAGTATCCGTAAGGCCGCATTGCTGAGCTGAGCGGCGGCATCCCAGCCGTTGGACTTGCCGACTCGCTTGTACTGGACGAGCCACGCGTCGACATCCTCTCCCGATTTTCCTCCGAAGGTTGGCGGGACTCGGTAGTAGGGCACGGAACCCATTGGAGTCGTCCTTGAAGCGTTAGATGACTGATCTTAGGCCATTACGATCGGCGCAGGCGGGAGTCCGGCAAGGCGGCGGCTGCAGCGTAGTCCAGGTAGTGAAGCTCCTGTCGTTGGGCTTGTCTTACCCAGCACGCTTCCACCAATCTGTTACGCACAAGGAGCACCAGGACGTATACGGCTGAAGGGGGCCGTTTATTTTGGTCGCGAAGAGAAACGCCGAAGCGGCCAACAGGTTGATGATCGCAGTGTCGTCGTCTTCTTTCTTCCTCCAGCTTGGGGCAGCCAGCATGTTCACCCATCTTCGTTGTCTTCCCAGGCATGCGTAACAATATGCTGTAAGGTCATGTTATAAACAAAAGTTGGAAGTTTAGCGCTCATTCTGTTGTCTGTATTTCCCTTCTTTACTGGCTTCTTTTTCTTCAAGCTCAAACAGAGTTGTGCTGTAACCTTATTATTTCACAGTTTATGTGCTCTGACAAATGGACTGCTGTTCGGTGCCAGTTTTGCACAAGGTTTTTCCACTGTCAGTTGTGGCACAAAATTTCAGTTCCTCTCCGAGTTTCCATGTCTAGAAAGCATGACCTAAGGATGATTTTGTGATGCCGATTTCCACAAGTAATTACCAGCGCAATGATGTGGTCAAAGATACAGGAGTGTGAATGAGCCACTGATGTGGGCATGTGCCCCTTGATCAACACATGTGCATATTTCCTCACAGTATGATGTCTGCGGACAGATTTTTACTATTTTTGACAGCTCTGATGATGAAGCCTTGAATTGATGCATTCAGGCGTAGTGCCAGCAGAGATATGCCCCCCCCCCACACACACACACACCAAGAGCAAGCAGAGTCAAAACACACACACAAAAAAAAACACAGTAAAAAAAATCCTTGTGCCGCTTCTGGATGCATTGATTTTTTTTTTTTTCAGACAACCTAGGATCATGAATCTAATAGTGCAAAAAATGGACGAAAACACAAGAAAGAAGAAAGCACTCCACATGTGTGTTCTAGTTCGTTTTTTTGGGCTGTTGCATCATGAACCATTACCAAATGGCCAAACTCACCACACATCACCAATCCATGATGTTGGCTGGGTTCGATTCAAAGTCAGATCTTGTTTGAAGATATTGTCAGCACAGATTAATAATGCACAAAAATTGCAAAAAAACAAGGGGTTAAATATGTTCCATAACAGTGCATATGTACGACATAAGCAATATTTATCCATCCTCTTCACAAAATTATCATTTCTTTTCAGACTACTTTCAAATGGATGCTGCAAAAGAAATTATCTCCAACAACATCTCGCGGTGAAAACTGTCCAAAACCATAGCATCAATTTTTCACAAGCTCCAAGTTGTAAACATGTGCGCTAGCTTTGTATTCACTGTGAGAGCTGCCTATTTTCCTGGCACTGAGGGAGGTTATTACCTGGGTTTGAAACATACATTTAGAACAAGTAATGATTGTATCGTTACTAGACTGTTTTCGCATACCTGCTCATCACCCTGGCCATCCACAGGTTTCCTTGCCGGGGGCATCTGTAAGTAAAGCGCCGATTCATATAAACATTGTTCAGTTACACACTCCACATTACAGAAAAGAGTGCATGACAAGTGGTGGCTTTTAGGCCTGTTACAAAAACAGATGTACACAAACTGCACTTCCCAGAAAGAATATTTGTAGCTGCAATTTATTTTCAGCCCATAAGACACTTACTCTTAATACTGTTCCTGTTGATGTTATTCTGTTTACACTAGTTGCTTTCTGTTGCTGTTTGCCAGCAATGTTTTCATGCTAAAAGGTGCCTGTATAAGACCAACTTCATCACGACTGATGCTTGAAAATTTCTCATAAAGGGACCAGTAGCGAGTGCAAGGCACAAAGGTCTCTTCACTAAGATTTGCGGCACAAAGTTAATTTCTTGGTTTGTGTAGATAAGTTATTTTGTTTTTGATAGAGAAAGGATTGGGCAATGAAAATGTAGTAAAACCTCATAAACACTTTCCAGCACGGTGGTCACCCCAGGTAACCACCTTTTTTACAATTTTTCCTCTTCAAACACCCTATACCCTGTTTCAGAAGTTTCCTTCAGCACTGTGGAGGCTACATGGCCCCTCAGCCAATAAGAAGGGCAATTAGCCCCTCCCTACGTATTCTCCCGTGCCATGTCGCCTGCTCATTATCTTCACAGCGTCTGCTCGCCAAATTGTTTATACATACTTATTGTAGATAAGGCTGCTTTATTAACTTAAAGCTACAATAAAACTGCAAAAGAAGCTGTCACACCAAGAACTTGAAGCATGGATTTGTCGCTCTGAAGATCGGTAGACGTTCATGCCGGCGGATAACTTCACTTCGTGGCTGTTTCTCTCCGATGCTTTTTTTGGCTGTCGTATAACTGCTTTTCTGTCGACGCGTTCGTTCGCATCTCCCGCTGCAATGTGATCTTTTCTGTTTTGTTTTTTTTGTTTTCATCGAACCAGGATCCGATGCGCACGAAACGCTGTGCCAAGTTGCATGTCCGTTGGAGATGCAGTGTTCTTGGTCTGGTGATGCAGCACTGCCTCTGCACATTAGTCTTAGCAGGTGCGCCTAAGCAAGCAGCATATCTCGCTGATAACGACAAAACATACCTGATGTTTTATCCTCAGGGTAAGATGAAACAAATCGATGATGGATTTCACCATTCGTTTGTTGCTCTTAGTGCAGTGGGCATATAGCAAAAGCAAGCTTGGGTCATAGCGGGCGGTCGCTTCTGTATGGGTGCTGCCATGTTCATTTTTTAACAAAATTACCGGCGGTAAATGACAAAAATAATTTTATGCATACTAGCTAAATGGGAAGAATAAGCGTATGAAATATCGATGTGACATACACACACCAATCAAACGCCAATTTCAGTCAACCCGGTCAATTTTAAGGCACTTATTTTATCTGGGACTATGTTTTGCTGCGCAGGTGTGTGATCTTCTTACACCCCGTAGCTTTGGTAGTGCTGAACCAAAGTGGTGAAACAGAGTATAGGTGTCGGATTTTCAGTGGCGCATTTTTTAAAGCTTTCGAGAATCTGACAAAGCTGGCGCTACTTCATTTGGCCTTTAATGTGACATGTTACAATTGCTTTCTTCTGGCTGCTGTCGTCCTCAAAACACGCTAGATGGTGGACACGACATATTTTTACAGATATAAAGGATGTGCTGTCCCTATTATGTTGATAGTGTAGGAGAGCATGTTGTAAGACTAGCTAACTCTGAGCTGTAAATAAAGAGCTGTACTTTGTCAGTACAGAGCACCATGTCAACGAAGTTGGTGGGTTTTAGTAGGCTGGTGATTATAGGAGCGGCGGATATGGGTGAACCGACTATAGAAGAAGAAATGGATGAACGATGGAATGCTAGCAGCTCGCACTGAGCGGCAGCTGACAGCAAGAAGATATCATCATCATAATTGTGGCTGAGGCTTAGACGAGTAAACAAGTGTTCTTTTGTGCCTCGGTATCGTCTCTAAGGTGTTCCTGGCTAGCCACTGCCAGCACCTTACAATACATATTACCCAAGTTGAAACTTTCCTGAATTGTGCGATGCCTAATATCGTCTTGATGTGTTGTCCAGTATATCACCTTTAGTACGCCAAAACGAATAGAGTACCCATAACAAGTGTACTATTTATGTTTTCCCAGTATTATCTTGATACAGTCAGTCATCATGTCAATCAGAGTTGCTAATACCAAGGAATCTAGAAATGAAAAGCTGTACTCGATCAGTATACTTAGCACTACAACGCCGCTGAAGTTGATCACCTGGGTGACCAGCATGCATAAAGGCCCTTCGAAGGGTGATGATAAATTATTTTCTATTGTTCTAATGAACTTGTTTTGCAAGATATAAACAAGCGTGCTCAAGAATGCAATGAATGTGGGCTACACACAGTCCCCCTTTGCTCCTGCGGGGAAAGAAGCACTGCTTTGTGGCCTTTCACAGAAAGTGACCATAAACCCTTCCTGCACGATGGTCAACTCAGGTGACATCATCATAGCTTTAGAACTAAAATTGCCAATTTTTTGTTTCTTGTGAGAAAATCATTTTCTGCAGAAGAGTTCACCATTTTTTCAATAAAACTTTGTTTCATGCCAAAAATGGAGTACGTGCATGAAAGAGTTAAAGGAACAATAAAGAGCAAAACTAATTTTTCTCGTATTAGTCAACAACTCTTTCACGATACCAAAACACAAGGCTTGCGACGAGAAGACAATAAGCAAGAAAATTTGCAAAAACGAAAATGTGGGTGGCAATACCACATTCAATGATGAACTAGCCAGTTCTGGATTTGGAGCAATTTTTAGAGCAGAAAAAAGGCTGTATTGTAGCAGATTCGGAGTGGGAAAAATTGTGTTTTTGAGCAGGTTTGCAGCAGGCAAACTTATGTTTGGGATCACTTAGAGCAGTAAGAGTGCCACGTTTTAGTGCACATTCTTCAATATTTAGGAACAACCCAAACTGCAACGAAAAGAAGAGAGGACTAACAGTCAGGCAGCAGCCTTTCATTAAGCTGTTTACACGACGTAATGTCACAAGGCTTCACCGCAACACACAAGATGTGCATTGTGGTGAAGCATTACAAGTTGAGCATAGCACACAGTTTCTGCTAAGGACAGGATTCGAAACGTCCTTTCCTCACAGTTTTTGAGAGAGGAGGGGTGTGACCACCCTTAAATATATCTACCCCCATCACTACTAAATATTATCAAAATCTCAAACTGACTTAGGCAAAAAATCAAGCTGTGCCCTGCAATTACTGATAATAATTCGATTGCATGCCATTTATTTCTCATTAATTAACATTTCGTTATTTATACAAACAATTCTGTGTTGAACTTAGGATTTCACAGCGAGGCCATCTCTGGCCACATTTGCATTTTCGTAGACTGTGAAGAGTTAGAACTCACCCGGTAACGGCGTTCCAGATTTGACATTACCAGATTTGTCATTATGCCAATTGCAAGCCAAGAAATATCACAGAGAAAGTATAATTTGTAACAAGTGCATGGATACGAATCAGTCGCAAAGCTTTTCTGCTGAGATTTACTTGCATAATGTTTTTTCTCTTTTTCCTTGCGATTGACGATGATATTGGCTGCTACAGAGAAGGAATGTGTTAATTGTGGCTTGCCGCAATATGTTTGTCGAATTGAGCATGGCTCAATTTCTACACGCGCTGGTTCACCATGGCATGCGACTCGATTTGATTGATATGTGGGGTTTAACGTCCCAAAACTACCATATGGTTATGAGAGACGCCGTAGTGGAGGGCTCCGGAAATTTTGACCACCTGGGGTTCTTTATGGTGCATTCAGACGACGGATCGAATCCCGATGTGGTGGGACGGACGGCGCATCACGTGACCTCACATCAGCGATTACCCTCGTCCGCGCGGCTCGCGGACGGATGAACCCAACCTGTTTCTCACATCGGGATTCTGGCGAGGGAGAGCCGGTACTTCAGCGGAATAGCTTGGGGTCGGTGGCAACCAGTACACTTTTCGTCTGCTCGCGGCATGTCCTCCATGGCTCGCGAACAGCTGCATGACTGGTTGGCATCATCAACGCTTGAGCATTGTTTACTTAGTTTCCGGAGACTTTGTTCTCAGGTGATTAAATATGCAGAAATCACTTTTGGTGGTTCGGGAAATGTCGCCGCCGTCGCTCAACACGCGAGATTAATCTTAGCCGTCATGGTGGTGAAATATTCCAACTTCTGCAACCGGCGACGTGCCGCTTCTAAAAAAAGGCGGGAGACACGTTTAGAAGTTCTACAAGTGGGGAATAATGTAGTTGAAAGAATATCCTGCTAGCAACTCCCTTTTCTCCTGAAAGAATAACACTACTCGTTCATTTGTCACAACACGACAGACATCGCAGCCAAGCTTCGCTTCTTGCGGGCATCCATGTTGAATACTCTCAAACCGGTCTGCTGCCAGCGGGTGCAGGTGAGCGCCGAATCTGCTGTCGAGGGTAATCCGGCTGTTTTCCCCCAGGACACCGTCCGTCGTGTGGATGCGCCTGCAGGCGGACCATCCGCGGATTAGCTGTCCGCGTCCACGACAAATCCGGATTCGGTCCGTCGTCTGAATGCACCATTAACGTGCACTCAAATCTGAGCACATGGACCTACATCATTTTCGCCTACACCAATAATGCAGCCGCCGCTGCCAGGATTCCACCCCGCGACCTGTGGTTCAGAAACCGAGTACCTTAGCCACTAAACCATCACGGCAGGGCATGGCATGCGACTCGCTCTCTCGATTTCGTGCCGACCAATTGTGCCCCCACGATCTCCGACAACAGGGCAGCTCGGGCCGACTGGCTCGCCCTACGCCATCTCCTGACGCTGACAAGAGCTCTAACTGAGTGGATCCCCGTCCTCGGACTCCTGCGACCGTGTCCATCTTTCCTATCTTCTCCTTACTTCCGGATGTCACTGCCCCTGCGCCACGCGCTCTCCTTGCCCCTTTCTCTATCTCTATACCTTTTAATCCTATC